ATTATATAATAATTATCAGCGATAAAAAATAACTCGTCAATCTTTCAAACTCGTCAATTACACGTCAACTTTTCAAAGAAACATGAAACTCATCGGGTCCTCAACATCTTAGCAAATTGTATAATAATATCGATTTTAAGAATCCAATCATGAATAATTTACTCGATGTAATTTTTATTACATAAATGCGCCGTCTCCGACGATTAGATTTCTATTTCTAGTGGACGCGTTAGGCATAAATAGAAGTACGAAACGCTGTCCGGCTAGTTGAGGAAGGAAGCTGCGTTTGAAGTCTGAGTTTAATCTTTTTCCGTCTCGTCGAAGAGAACACCGAAAGCATGAAGATCGCCGTCGTATTTCTCTGCACATTATACCTCACTTGCACGGTACGTCTGAGTTTATCTGACTTTATCTGAAATTTCCTTACTAATTGACTTACTTCTTGTTTGTTCTTTTTCTTTCCTTTCGTTGAAAAATTAAATTAATTGCGTGACGTATGATCGTGTGATGTATATGACTTTTGTAGAATAAAGTAAATCTTTAAAAAAAAAAAAAAAAAAAAATAGGAGCAACATCTGTTGCTTGACTCGTAAACTTTAATAACATTCAGAGCAAAATGCATTTTGTAACATCAAAGAATTGATTTTTCTTCGTTTGTAATGTCGTGCATAGTTGATTCGTGCTGATGAGTTTGGAGTAACCACGTGTATCCAGGAAATGGGCCTGAACATTAGTAAGTGAGAACTCGTAGATGTCTAAATTAATTTTATCTAGATGCACGAGAGCATCGCCAGACAAATAACTAATCGAAACTGATAAATAATAATTGCATCGTTAGGGGATGTCTTATCTTTTATTAATAACGACACTGCCGAGGGAAAGAAGCAATATGGATGCCTTCTAGCATGTATCCTAAAGAAAAATGATGCGGTACGTTACTTATCTTTGCTTTTGATGTTCTTAAATAATCTTACTTCGATCAATAAATTATTAGCAATCAGTTGAGACATTGAGACGCGAAAGCTTCTAACCAGATAAAGTTCTTCTGCTTTATATTTTAAAAACGGTAGAAAATGATCGATTGAAGTTTCAAAGGAACAAAGAGTTAAAATTGAGAATTTAGTTATTAATCAAAAATTCAGAAGATAGACTAGTTAAACTTTAGAATGATCTTTCGTGGAAACTTTAATGTAGAGATTAATTGAAATTTGAAATAATTATTGGTTGAAGTAATAGTTAAAGTTATTAATCGAAGCTTCAGAGGAGCTTTAAATTTAGAATGATTATTACACAGTTAAGTATTAAAAGTAAAATGAATAATACATGTTGTATTTATTTTAGATGGTTGGTAACACCTTCAAAATGCCAGTGATTGAAGATTATATCGCTAAACTTGTCGATAGTGATGAGAAAGAAACTGTGCTTGAAAATGTACACCACTGTATCCATCAAGGTGCGAATTATAATTATACGAACTACATTCCTAATTATTTTCTCTTCTATACTTTTCTCTTCTTTTTCTTTTTTTTTCTCTTTTTTTTTTTTTT